TATAATTTCTGTTTTTAGTTGTTTTCTAATTTCAAAAAGATAATTCTTTATGTCAGATGCTGCTTTTTCAGAAACTGCAGGTATGCGACCCTGATCTCTTCTGTGTTTACCTCTCCTGGGCCAGTACTGTTTGGGTTGGGGGTTGGAGACTTCCTTTTGTTTTTCTTCCTGTCTTATTTCTGGTTTCTTCTATTGGAGGTCCCCAGCCCTTCCCGTATTGGCTGCAATTACTCTGAAGCATGCTGGCTAGGGATTGCTGCTTTCCCCAGTCTTCTGATGACCACCAAAGTACAAGCAGGGTGAGGGCAGGCTGGCCCCTTTCTTCTGAGCTGGTCAACCATTGGGGGTCTTCACAACAGTGTGTGCCTTATGGATGAGCTGGTTAGAGATAGCTTCAGGGAGACCTTGTCCTTGGCTATCGGATCATGCACAGGAGTGTGACTCAGTCCAAGCTATTCTCACCAATCTGCTCTGTGCTATGAGTACCTGACTGAAGCCACTGCACTTCTGGTTCCAAGCTTATCCTGTCTGATTCCAAAATGTCACCTGGCCAATCATCCACTCCTGTGGGAGGACTGGGTCCCCACACTCACTGTGAGCCAGTACAGATCTCTGAGTGCTGTTCTCTGTTCCACTAGTGCCCTCCATGACTGCATCCTCCTGCAGAGGCCCTCAGGCTCGGCAACCCCCAACTGCACTGCGACTGTGTGTCTTCAGATTCCAGCAGTGTTTCTTACACAATGGGACCAGCTCAAGTGAGAGCATATCCTGCTACAGTCTTCAGTCCATGATTTTTTCCCTTCAGTGTCTTCCTGGGTCAAGAGGCATTACCTCCTTCCACCTGGTCTTCTCCAGGATGTTCTACTTCAGGATCTGAGCTGTTTCTCTCCGAGAGGTTATTTTGTTGCTTATTGAACCACCTTCTTCCCATTGATGCACTTTCACTTTTTATTTTCTCTTCAATTGCTTTCACCAACATCTTACAATTTTCATTATAGAGATTTTTCCTTTCTTTGGTTAAATTTACTCCTAGGTACTTTATTTTTTCATAGTTGTTATAAGTGAAATTGCTGTCTTGATATCTACTTCAGATAACTGGTTATTTGCACACAGCAACATGACTGACATTTGTATATTGCTTTTGTATCATGTAACATCATTTATTAGTTGTAATGTTTTTATTTATTTATTTTTTTTGTTATACTCTTTGAGGTTTTCCCTATTATACCGTAAGATCTACAAACAGACTCTTCTCTTCCAATTTGGATACCCTTATTTCTTCTACTTGCTTGATCATCAAGGCTAAAACTTCTAGTACTATATTCACAAAAGTATAAAATGACCATCTTTATCTTGTTTCAGACATTAGAGAGAGAATTTCCAGTTTTCTCTAATTCACTGTGATATTCTTAGTTGGCCTGTCATAAACAGTCTATATTATGTTGAGGTATATGCCTTCAACATCTAATTGGTTCAGGATTTTTTCAAAATAAAGGATGCTGAATTTTATCTAAGATCTTTACTGCGTGTTTTAAAATGATCACATGGTTTTTGTTCCCTCTGTTGATATGACATATCATATTTATTGATCCACATATGCAGAAATATCCTTGCATTCCTGGGATGAATTCCAATTGACCATGATAAATATAATTTATAATATGTTATTGGCTTTGGTTTCATACTGTTTAAGGATTTTTGTATTTATGTTCATCCTGGGTTATTGCCTATACTTTGTTTTCTTTATTTTCGATGTGTTTTTTTTGTCCTTGCTTTGTTTTATTATTAGAGAAACGCTGACCTTGCACAATGAAAGTAGACTGAGTTTGGGAGAATTCCATTCTCTTTAAATTTCTTGGAATAACAAGAAAACTGATGCTAGAATTTTTTAAAATAATATAACTCAACTTTGAAATTACTGGTCCTAGGCTATTCTCTGCTGGAATAGTTTTAAATAACGATTTAAACTCACTCATTGTTGATCTGTTTATATCTTCTATTTTCTTATGATTCAATCTTGATAAAGTGTATGCATTTGGGAATTTGACAATTGTCTACATTACCAAATATGTTGATATAGAGTTGTTCATAATAGTTCCTAATCATCCTGGTGCTTCTATGTCAAATACAATGTCTCCATTTTCATTTGTAATTCTGAGTCTCCTGTTTTTCTTCGTTTAGCTAAAGGTTTGCCTATTTCATTTATCCTTTCAAAAATCACAATCCTGATTTTCTTGATGATGTTGACCTTGATCTTTGTCTGAGGAAGTACCTGTCAGTTTTCTCCACTGGAATTACTCTCTTTCCATTCCTTTCTATACTACTCCAAAAGGAAATCTCAGAAGACGGGTTTTACTTAAAGATTGGAGATGATACACTATCTCTCTGAGGGCACAATATTTGAATAAATTTTTTTGAAATCTGTTTTGGATATTTGTCTACTCCTACATATTTATTTAAACATTTATACTAGCCGTGGCTCATAAATATTTTATAGCTTGGATTATTATCCCATTCTATTTAATTTTTGGTCAATTTTTCTAATGGCATTCAACAGTTTTGATCTTTAGGAACTTCTATGACATTTTGACATACCCTAATTAAAAAATACTTCCTTACTTTCTGGCACTGCTGCATGCTCTGAGTTTATCTTGTATATTTCTTGTCCCAGCCATAGAATCAATCATTTCTCCAAGAAGCACTGATTCCTATTATTAGAAACTAAGATCAAGATGCTAGGTGTACTCTGGAGTTTTATTTTAAGATTTTAAATCCTAAGAGCTTCTTATAAATTTTAAAATGCAATTTATTTTAAGATTTTAAATTTCAAGTGCTTCTAATAAATTTTAAAATGCACATGTTTGAGCAACTCAGGAGGAGTGTACTTTGTTTATGCTGAGCTCTAAGTGCAAATGCAACATGGAGACCAGGACTAGACGTGCTGGCTGTCCCAGGTCTGGTGACAAACTTACTGTCTTGGATACCCTGGGGCTCTGTTGTGCATAAGTTCAATTACATTCCTGAAGTCCCACTAAAAAATACCAAATAGATACTGTTGAATCTGAAGTGTGTGAATGAGAGCTTCTGAGTTTTCGTAAAAATATTAATACATTACAGAGAAGAGTATTTTTTAACCTAGGCAGTTGGAATGGAGCCAAAGTGACAGTATGTGTGGTGTGTAAATAATGCATTTTCACTAAAACCACATTAAGTATCAGAATGAAAATAAGAACTCTGTTTTCATCTGGCCCATTGGTAAATGTGCTGTGAGCCATAAGAAGAGAAGAGTTGTGTGGTATCAACAAAAATGTCATGAAGCAACAAGAAACAAACTGGATGTGTATATATGATGTACAAATATATAGTTCATATGCATTACATATAGATACTTTTTTCAATTTTCTAGAATGTAAAAATTTTAAATGGATCAGGATTGTGTGCTATATAATTTTCAGAGGACTAGCTTTAAAAACACTGATAGAAAGTTAAGTAAAGTAAAAATTAAGTAAAAATGCATTATAAATATTTAAATGAAATGGGTCAAACATGCAAAAACATAAAATTACATTCATTGATGTTTGTACTACAATCTCAGTAAAAATCAGAGTGATAAAATAATATACTTAATAATGAAGTAATGAGATAGACATCTCTCTTCAAAGAAAATCTAAATAAAAATTTTACTTGAATAAATATAATTATTTTTTGCTGAAATAGACTCCATGCTCACTTAAACATCCATAACATTGCTCAGTATAATTTCAAAAATGTAAAACAACAGTGAAAAATTAAAAATTAACGTAACAAAAATTTCCTTTGTCTTTTTCCATCTGACAACTTTGTGGTTGTTGTTAAAGATGTGACATTAGTATGTTATATTAAAGAGCTCAGAGAAAAATGATGTGACCAATGTTAAGACAGTGAATAAGAAGACAAAAACGTTTCTGGATAATAATATATTTTAGCAGCAAAAGTAAGAGAAGTTTTACTACAAAACAAGGGTTTATTTTACCAAAAAAAATCGTCTTCTCTGCAACTCCAAAAGGTTATTTAAATGACAGGATGAGGTCAGATGACAAGTGAAGAAAAATATGCCAGAAGTGCTGATTGATTGAGCCACTCAGCGGAAGAGGGAGATGTTGATGAATTCCAGATCAAGTGAGCAAAAGTAAGGTAAGAGTGGGTTAGGAAATGTGAGCATTTTTAGTTATGCAGAGTGAAACTGTCAGCTTAGTATTAGTTGATATGTATTAGACCAATTAACTTTAATTGTACAAAACTATAAGCTTTATTTTTCCCTTAAAAATAATAAGGCTTTCTCTGCTATTATTTTAAATTCACATATTTCAAGAGCTTTGAATTTTTTTGCTCACATTCATTATAAAAAGAACCACACCATTTCACTGAGCAAAATCTAATTTAAAAAGCAATAGGTCAACTAATTCAGTACATACCATGTGGATGCCAACATGACACAATACAGGAAGTTCAAACCGCAAACTGCTTGTCTCAATAATGTCAAGTGCTTGATGAACTGATATACTGAAATTCAATCTGAGTTGTATTTAATTGTAGCACTAAGAAACCACAAAGCAACAAACGATTCAACTCTCTGTTCTGAAACACCTGGGGAGTTAAGCTGTGCTTAGACAGTACCACTGTGATTGCTCTACCAAATGCCTACAGCTGGCCATCCACAGCAAAATCCAGAGTACAAGTGCCATGTTCACCCTAATGATGTCCCAGGTACCGTTTATTTAATTCTCAAAGCTTGAACAGAAACCTCAAGAGTCCTGAGACAACCTGAACGCAAAATCCAGACACAGACACATAGCACCAGGCACCCCAGTAGAAATCACTATGTTGAGCTTTTTCCTATAATCTTCAATGCTTCTCACTACAATAAGCCATTCAATCCAAACACGTACCTTTATCTGTCTGACTCATTGTCTCAAAGCAAGTCAATTTCCTCAAGCAGAAGAAGGTCTATAATTGCTTACCTGACTCACAGGCAAATGTCTTGGACGTTTCATCATGAAAGATAATCGCCACTGCATGCTTCTTCGTCTCTCGAGGCAGTCTGGTTATATTTTTGATGTTGTGCAGTTCAGTTACCTTGGAAGAAAAAAAAGTATTTTTAATTCAGTATGAATATATATATATATATATATATATATATATATATTATATTTTAGTGTTTAGGCAAATGTGTTACATATTGATACATATTTTATACTTTAGTGCTTAAGCAAATGATCAAGGTATGACTGCTTTTTAAATTACTTTGCAATGAATAATTGTACTATTTTTTATGAAACATCAAAAAATACAGTGAAACATTTAAAACACCTTCCTTTTTGACCTTAATTCTGGTTATAAATTAAATCATTTACTGTATTTTGAAATAGTCTAAATATTATACAGAATAGTTTGATGGAGTCTGTGCTTTTATTAAAGTTGATTCCCTGCAACAGTAGCAATTGTGATACAAGACAATTATTGCTAGGTATCTGTTGACTATGGCCTGGATTTACCATCTCTCCCAATGTCCATCTACCATGCAAATTCTGAGAGGACTAGAGTCCCAGGGGATTGACACCTATCTATTGACAATGTTGATGCAAAATTTTGAGTTATTTAACATAAACAATAGCCTGCTTGTCAAAAAATGCATACTACTTCTCTTATCAAGATCAATTCATGACTTAGGGACCTAGACTTAAAATCCATTATCATATGGAAATTAATATAAAGTCAACAAATCTGCTTTAAATCTTTTTTTGGTAAAAGTTCTACTACAACATAGTCATCTTTCATTTTTCCTCAAAGACAACAGAGTTAGGCAAACGTTTATTTTTCCAAGTACTCTTCATACATCATTGTGTAATTTAATTAATAATTTTGTAATAGTATCTAATAGTCTTGTGTGATTTAATTTTTTCTAATTCACTTTGCAACATTCTGAATTTTGTTGTTTGCTCTAAGTTAAAATATTCCCTATTTCTGGATCAAAGTTGTTAGCAGGATGCAGGCATAAATAGTAGCATAATAAATAGCTAATTAATATCATTTTAGGGCATCCTGTAATGTCATATCTATGGCATTCTATAATAAATTCATTATTTTTGCTCCTGCATAATTTTATCTTTTCCAAATCTGGAACTTTCATGGGTAATTTTGAAGGTTATTTTGCTAATTAGTATTTTGAGAAACACAAGAATTCACTAAACACAGATTTTAACTTTTCTGATGACATATCTGTATCTGCAAATACATATGTATATCTAAATCTGTATCTATATTTACATCTATGTATTTCTATATCTATCCATTTATACCAAGGAAGGATTGGGTTTAAGCTCTGCCCCTACATCACATGAACACCCAAATCACAGGATGCTCAATTCTTCACTAAAATTGTATAGTATTTGTATATAAACTACACAAATCTTCCCATATATTTTGAATAAATCCTAGATTTCTTATAATAGCTAATGTAACACAAATGCTATGCAAACAGCTATCATATTATATTACTTATGGAATAATGAAAAGAAAAACCCTGTACATGTTCAATACACATAGTTTTTTAATATTTTGATTCATGTCTCTTGAATCTATGGATGTGAAACGTGGATTATGGAAAGTCAAAGGCAGTCATACATGACTATGAGTAAATATACACACACACATATATATATATATATATATATATATATATATATATATATTATAAAGGGTGATCAAAACTATGACGAATGTTTATATTTTAGAAAACCTTATTACAATAAAAGATATGGCCAGGAATTATAGAGATGTGTTGAAAGCAGCGAAGGGAGTATTTTGAAAGGGATTAATGGCAATGTGCTTTTTAGTAAAGTTTTTAAATTTAATCATTCATCATATTTACTGATTGCCCCAATTGATCAAATGTTTATGGTAACTTCTGCATGTAGTATCATGTGACATGTGACTCTTGCCTAAAATTCAAGAGACAATGAGTGGTAAAAGTCAGAGCATTGAGGCTGACATGACAGCACAGGGAATGACACTAAAAGCAAGGATTTTCAGAACTACTTCAGGAAGTGGCAAGAGCAATGGAGTAATTGTTTGACACAAACGAAAATATTTTGAGGGATAGTGTTGGCAGCGGTACTCTATCATGCAATATGGTAAGAATTTAGTAGGCACTCACTTTTGTATTGAACATTATAGTACATGAATAGGACAGACATCTCCATTAAAAGAACATAAACAAAAGTCAAACGCAAAAAGAGTGAGTTGAAATATTAGTATCTACGGAAATGGGGAAGTGCATATATCAGAATGGAAACTACTGCTAAAATTTATTTGCCAAGGGAAATTGTTCAGTTTTTAGCATTCTTTTGAGTTAGGTTGAACTCTGTCTTCATGATCACTGTATTTGTTTGTTCGCTAAAATTTGGAATGCCAAATCATACCCATGACACATTTGCAGTTATGCACACATTGATAGAGATAGTACTTCTTGCCTGCAAAATGCCTGCAATAAAACTTATAAGGATTTTTCAGTATTGTGGCTCTTCACTACATCTCATTTGTCCCATTACCAAAAATGAAATATTAGGCAAAGCATTTTTAAATTCAGGAACTCATTCTTTATTTGTTTTATGTCTAATATAATATTATTATTTAACAATTGTTGGGGTTTTTGTTTCACAAATAAATCACAAGCCTACTTGTAAAGTTATTGTATTATTAACCCATTCCTTATATAATATGCCAAATACTGGAAAAAGCTTAGATTTTCCATGAATGTTGTGTTTTTGTCAATTTCTCTTACATTTCTATTCCTGACTGGTTAGCAAGCACTGTATGGAAGGCAGCAGTCAACATTCAATTTTAATAGAATTGTTGCATTAAGCATCTTCTATCATGTAGAACATAAAACAGTGAAATTATTCACATACTAACACAAGCATGCACTTTGACGAAGATCACAGTTTTCAAAAATTTGAGAAATGACTAATGCTTTTATATTATTAGCCATGCTTTAACTGCAAATGAAGGATATTGTTAATAAGCAAACACCATCCATAAAGCACAATTGTTACAAATGTCCTAAATAATAGGAGAGGTGTAGTAGATAAGCATTTTAAAAATTTTGCTCCTTATTTTTTAAGATGGTACCTCTGTTTTCAGTTAGGGTGCGATAATATACAAGTAGATACAAGGATGAATTGTTGCCCAGAAATTGAAATCATATCATGCAAATAATATATCTGAAATAAAATTACAGGGTACAGTTTTGAGAGCTTGATGCTATTTGTCCCTCAGTTTTTAAGATCTTATAGTAGTCAAGACTTCTAACCTTATACAAGATAAAACCCATCACTCAGATTTGCTATTTATGCTGATCAGACCAGCTTTTTCTTTGTTTGTCACACAGAATTTTGTTCTATTGCATTCCTAGGATATTAGTTTTGATGCATTTTATATTTGTTCTTACTTTTTCTTGTAATTATCTCACTTAAGATTACCAGGCAACATTAAAATTAAAGATATATGTGATAAATATACTGGACTTAATAACTGCTTTACATATAATTGCTTTATATCTATACGTGTATATATTATCTGTGTATCTATGTGAAAATAGTCATTTCCATTTCCAGAAAAAATTAAACAACAATATCTTATGGTTTTTGAGGACTAATACCTTTGGGAGCAACATAAGTATGCCATTTTCAAAACAGTAATTCACATATTATATTTTAAGCATGTCAAAGCAGAGTTCTGTAATAAAACTTAACTCCTATTTAAATTATTAAATAATTGATTTAAGTGATGCGTGAGCCAATTTTTGCTCTGACATAATAAACTGAAACTATCTGGAAAAAAGATACTATTTTCATTTACCTAAACCAATGATTGTGCTTAAGAATTACTGTCATAAGATGAGTATAAAAGTAGTAGATTGCTGTAAAAGTTACATTATATGAACTATCTAGCTGTACCAAACAATACCATCTTTTAAATACCATCTTGGGATCATTTAAAAATATTTTTATTTACAAATATATAAGTATACCAGAATGGATATTGTGGATTTGGTGTTTTTGCAATCTCATTACAAAAATAAACAAAATACACTAATGGATAGTCAGAACAATGCAGCCGGCACCAGGGACCATCTAGGTTCCGTACCTTAGGGAACCCGACAGATCATGCAGTTCAAGCAAAGTGTTTGCTCTTCTATGAAATTTACATTCAGAAATGTAGACAGCTTCTCCAAACAGACAGGGTTACTGTGGTTTCAAAATAATGCAGTCTTTTCATTAGTGATCAAAGGTATGATGTCATCACTTCTTCAGTTAAGACAATAGAAATGCCAACAGAAAAGTACTAATTAGAAGTATAAAATTCAACATTAAAATGTTATGAATCATAACAAATTAGGATAAGATCCAATATATTTGAATTCATTATCCTCATTTTTTGCTCTCAATAATACATGGATGCACCATCCTGTCAGAAGCTGTATGTACTAAACATGAAGAAAAGTATTAAAATTATATACAGCCTCGCAATAAAGATATCATTATTATTTAAAACCTGTCAATATGAAATAAAAATAATTACCAACATTTATTAAAGCTGTGAAGTTCTAGACTTTTTAGTATTTAAGTCTACAAGTGACATTATTTAAAATTTAATATGAAAACTGAAAACTGATTTTTCTGAAAAACTAAGCTTACTAAGACAATACACCTTAATAATTTTAAGTAAACATTATATTGACAGAATTGAAGTGAGGAAGAAATTATCTGAAAATAACTTGAGTTTTTCATGTCCAAATCAATGAATTTCATGATCAACAATTTAAACTATTCAGGACTGATAAATGACAGAATTAATGCCTAAACATAAATGTAGCCCAATGAGGATATTGTCAATTAGTTCATTTTTATTTTAGGGTGCAACCCATAAATAGTTCATAGAATTAAAGTGTAGAAAATTCAAATACGAAAAACATATTTTTTTTCCTGTGAACCTTCACCATTTAATTGGGGAACAAAGTAAAAAAGTGATGCTAATGAGTCCTGTGAAAAAGGGAGGAGAAAGACTAAGAAGGC